TTTTAAGGCATGCATAACAATCAAATAAATCTGCTTGTAATGATGAATTTGAAAGGCTACGTCAAAATCATTTCATGAATTCAATACTTGAAAAGAATTTTAATCTAATGAAATTAAATCCTCATTATACTGATAAACAGTTATTACTGATCTGTGTTAAAAAATGGATTTTTAGACATGATAAATAATATTTTCTGAAGCGGTATTTTGTGTTGTGATCCCTAAATAAGAAAATGCCTACATATTCAGAAGGCTCCTGAACTCAGAATGCTGTACTTTCTTCTTCCTTATATTTATGAAATATTTCATACATTTAAAAGAAAGTGTTTCTTCAAAGTCTTATACAATTATTTTCATAAATGAAAGTGATTGTAAGCTTGTTTTACCTCAGACTTAATGGACAACAAGTTCGAAAGTTATTTTTTGAGTATGAATTTAGTGTTTTTATTGAAATTTTAATTAAAATATTGTTACGAATTTGGTATTTAAAAAGCTAATGTTAGTTCAATTATAAATTAAATGGTTTTTTTCCCGCGCAGTGCACGTGCAGCCGGAAAATTGAAAATACAGAGCGCGTGCATTAAACATTTAATACATATCTCTTTTGATTTCGAGAAAGTACTAGAAAATTCTCGCACGTGATTTAAAATGTTATAAAAGGAGGAGAACCTCTCAGTTTGTAGTAGTTACGTAGTTTGTTGTTGTTCAGAAAACTGCTCTTGTTGACTGTAGCGAATTTGCGGATTAGCTTTCCTTATCTGTTTTGAATTAAGTTCTATTGAACGCTTGAGTAGTTAAAAGATAACTACTGTGAGATACTGTAATACTGCACGAATATTTTAGGAAATTTAAGCATATTTGTCGTGATAATAATAAATTTTTGTTCATTTTTCTTCGGACATGTGCATTCATTTCGTAACGAACCCATACGCACGCAACAATTTTTGGTGTCAGAAGTGGGATTTGAATGCCAATAACAAGAGCGATGGAAGAACAGTTAAGGCAGTTGATATCAGCCTTTGCCTCATTTAAAGAAGAAATGAAATTGGGCCAGGAATCCGTTAAGGACGAAATGAAAGCCGTTCAAGCTGGTCAAGAAAAGATTGAATCAGGTCAAGAAGAAATGAAAAGAGAAATTACCTGCATAATAGAAAAGAAATTTGAAGCTATGGAAGGCAGAATTGACACAGTTGAAAATAAAGTTGGGCAAATTGAAGAAAAAGTTTCTTCCGTAAAAGATCAAATTAAAGAAAGAGTTTCTTCTGTAAAAGAACATATAGAAGGGAGAGTTTCTGCTGTGGAGGAACGAATTGAAGGAAGAGTTTGCGCCGTCCAACACCAAATCGAACAACAAATTAATGATAGGGTTTCTGCAGTAGCCAAAGAAGTGGATATTTTAAAGACATTCGTAGCGACAGCAGGGAAAAAAAGAGATGGTTTTAAATTTTTACCTATGCCTGCTCTTCCCTCTCTGAAGTTATCCACTTACGATGGGAAGACCTCCTGGCAAGTGTAAACACAATTTTCTATAGTGGCGGATGCGAATGGATGGGATTCCCAAACTAAGGCTGTCATCTTGCCGCTTGTCTGAGAGCAAACGCAGCGGATGTCCTGCAGACGCTTCCCGAAAACCAAAGACTTGACTTCGAAACTCTGTCCGGCGAATTGGAGCTGCGCTTTGGCGAAAAATGTTTAAAAGACTACAGCAGGCTTCAATTATTATGCCGTCAACAGAAGCCCATCGAATCACTCCAGGAACTCGCCACGGATGTTGAAGGGCTGTCCCACATCGCCTTTACGGAGTGCCCGAGAGAAACGAGGGAAATCCTGTCGCTGCAATATTTCATCGATGGCATCCGGGATACTGAAATACAGAAAGCTCTGCGAATGGCAGATGTGAAGGACATAAAAAGCGCTCTGTTGTACGCCGTAAAAGTCGAGGCAGCCCAGCAAGCAACTCGCAGAGATCGCTACCCAGTCAGAGCTGTGCGAGTCCCGAGCCAGTGGATCAATTGATGGCTCGTTTAGATGATTTATCCAGAGCAAGTCGATGCTTTGATACGGAGTAGGAGTGAGAACACAAAGTGGCTCTAAGGTTGTTGGAGATGTGGTATCTGAAGGGTCACCTCCGACGGCATTGCAGAACACCCCAGGGCACGAATAATAAAACGGATGATTTGATACAAGACCAGTGAATGCCTTGAGACGGAATAGTTGGTGAGAAGAGAAACCGAACCCTAAAGTGCTGGAACTGCGGTGTTGAAGGCCGCATACGAAGGAAACTGAAGAACACCCCAGAGCACGGTAAAATAAAAGAGGCGGTTTAAACAGACAATTAAATGCCATGGGAACGAAAAGGAATTGACAAGAAAACAAAGTGCTGGAACTGTGGAAGCTGAAGGCCACGTACGAAAGAATCGTAGAATACCCCAGGGTTACGGCAAATTAAGATCATTTCTGAGCAACCGACACAAGGAAACAAATTAATGGCCATATCGAGGAACGGAGGTTGCCAGGATAATGAAAAACCCTGTTTTAAAGCGCTTAAGGTTTCTACAGTGAGTGGCAACAGTAACGGACTGTCCATTAATGGGAATATCGATGGAGTTCCTTGCAATATTGATCATTGACACAGGAGCTAATGTTACCATCATTAGAAAAGATTTAGCTGAACAGTTTAAAGATAAACTTATTTGGACACCATCCTCTGTTACCCTTCAGACTGCATCTGGTGATAAGATCGACATAGTTGGGAAGTTAAACGTGAACATCATGTTTGGTAGTGCCACCTACCATCATATGGCATATGTGGCAGATATTACAGATCCATGTATACTTGGATTGGACATTTTAAGGAAATATAAATTTTCCTTAGACTTCAAAAACAATAAACCGTTCTCAGCATCTGAGGACATGACGATCCATCTTTCAAAAGGGATCATCGCCTGGAAATGCCGACGTCTCATGTGAAAGACCCTACTTGGAAAGCTGCCGAAATCATACTAGGGTCAGAGAGAAACACCAGACTACTGCAGCTATTCTCCATCTCGCAGATGCTCTTCAATCGAGACCTTCGTCTGCCTTGTGACCGCCTGTTTGATCACCGCACGGATGCGCCTTCATCGCCTGAGGAACGCATCCAAGATGTCAAGTCCCGTTTTGAAGTGATGCACCGTTCCGCACGAAAGCGAGTGAACTTGGCGACGGAGAAAGTGAAGTCCAGGTACAACACGAGAGCTACTGGACATAGATCCAACAAAGGAGACAAGGTGTGGTTGTGGAATCCAGATTCGACGAAAAGGAGTCAGTCCTAAATTACAGTCACCTTGGATGGTCCCACACAGTCCTAAACAAGGCTGAATGACGTCGTTGGTTCGGATCCGTCGGAACTCTAAACCTAAAGTCGTTCATTACGACAGGTTCATACTATGGCCATAGTATGTAAGTGTAAATAATTGTAAATAGTGTAAGACCATGGTCCTTTTTGTTTCTAAATGTGTATTTAGTATTTGTATTTGTATTTGATTTGTATTTAATAGCATTTGATTCGTTTTATTTATCGCATTTATTGTTCATGTTGTTTATTATTGTAATGTAATGCTTATTATTGCACTTATGCCTTAGTTGTAAGTTTCGCTTCCTGTCCAGGGATTGTACTGCCCGGGACGTGCAGTCCTTGTTAAGGTGGCAGTGTTACGAATTTGGTATTTAAAAAGCTAATGTTAGTTCAATTATAAATTAAATGGTTTTATTTCCCGCACAGTGGCCGGAAAATTGAAAATACAAGAGCGCGTGCATTAAACATTTAATACATATCTCTTTTTGATTTCGAGAAAGTACTAGAGAATTCTCGCACGCGATTTTAAAATCTTATAAAAGGAGGAAAACCTCTCAGTTTGTAGTAGTTACGTAGTTGGTTGTTTAGAAAACTGCTCTTGTTGACTGTATCGAATTCACGGATTAGCTTTCTTTAGCTGTTTTGAATTAAGTTCTGTTGAACGTTTGAGTAGTTAAAAGATAACTACTGTGAGATATTGTAATACTGCACGAATATTTTAGGAAATTAAAGCATATTTGTTGTGATAATAATAAATTTTTGTTTATTCTTCTTCGAACATGTGCATTCATTTCGTAACGAACCCGTACGCAGGCAACAATATCATTAAGATGATCTTATTTGCACATTCTAACTATTTTCTCATTTGACACTATTGAACGTTTTTATTCGTATCTTATTTATTTTACTCTGCTAACTAAACTGAAACATTTAAAGCATAAGTTATTTTGAATATGTTTTACAAAATATACGTGGAATTTTTATTTAAGTGAAAACGTCTATATATTATTCGAGAACTAATAAATTATACGTGAAGGTTTTATGCTGGGAATTCCGCCGTCCATAAAATCCATCTTTAAAAAGCAGCAGACATTTAGCCAGTGACTGCGATAAACACGCCAAAATTGGCGCGCTTTTCGTTTATCGTCAAGAGGGAAAAGTTGGCGGTTCAACCTGAGGAACAGAATATATGGAATGTTTGCTCCAAAGCCAGGGAAAGATCTTTGAATGAATGACTTTCAAAGATAAGAAGCATCGCAAATCTATCTTTCAGGTTTCTTCGTAAAGAAAAGGGTGCGCGTTATACGGCGAGTACTAAAAAAATTATAGATGCGAGATATACATAGGTGCGCGTTATACTCCAGAGTATATGGTAATTAACAGATAAATAAATTGCTGACCTCATCTTCTTGAAACTATGCAATTTCTTCTTAGGGAGAAACCCTGTGAAGTAAATAAATGAAATAAATTAAAAGGAAATGTTCGTTCTTTCTGAAATTACTGAAAGGAGGGTTGAAAATAACGGAAAAGGTTATAAATCTAAGCAATAATGAAATGCCAGCAAAAACTTCAGCAGTTACCCAAATTATAAAAGAAGGATTGGCATTGGTTCCGCACCTTTTGCAGCAACAAAATAAAAAAATAAACACGTGAATAAGGATGCTCTTGTTGACGTTTGGAAGACGTCCTATCCTTCCGCCAGGAACCGATAAAATGAAATTGTTAAGGGGCGTTTTTGAAATATGTCTTTTCACTGTGGATCTCGTTATCTGTATTCACAGCAATTAGATTAGATAATCAACTTTTGTAAGCATTATTTATTGTACGAATAGTATGTAAAATATGTCATTGGAATGCGTTTTGTCGGGATTTTTTAAAGTTCATTAATATTACTTTACTAACTGTAGATCTTGGAAATTTTTAGAAAAGTTGACGTTTTATATATGGCTTTTTATTTTATTTTCTACCATCCACTGTATGCGAAGATAATATTTTTATATTCCTAGAATCGCTGTCAAGTTATCTTGTATTAGTAAATTGAATGTGCACCTAATCTAAATATTTTTTTATTTTCATTTAATTAATATTAAAAATCAGTTAATTTAGTTTACGGAATATAAGTAGCATTCTTTGAAGTATTAATATGTAATCCATAACCAGTTTTTTAAATGGATATCTTGTTGAATAAATCCTTTGAAAAATATGTAGTTGTAATAGGTAGATATGTTATTTATATATTCCCACCCCAGTGATTTTCATTTGGGTTAAATATTAAAGGCCTTTATTTTCAAAATGTGTTTTCATTAGATACAAATTTTTAAAATGGAGAAATTTGAAAATGGGAACAAAAGCATTGAACAGTTAAATTTCAAAGATGACGGTTCAAGTTCAGTTCTGTCTGATACTGAAGAAGATCCATCTTTGCGTCCCTTGTTAACATTCCGTGAAAGACTATGCAAGTTATTTGAATCCCACAAGTTTCAGGTTTGACATTTTCAAAATTTATTTTAATAAGTGTTATATTATTCTTTGTTTTTTAAATAAGGTATAGGAAGTGGGATGTTTTATTTTTCTTCCTTCCTTTCTTTTCTTTTTTTTTTTTTGTTTTGTTTGGTGGCTGTTTATGTTTCTTTGCATAATATAAATAATAACTACACTGTTTTGTATTTGATAGGTAAAAGAAAATTCTGTATAGTTACAGTACATAGTTTGAATGGGTGATGGAACTGTGATGACATTTTTTTTATGTGTGTGTGTGTGTTTTTTTAAAAATTCTTTTAAATTAACATTAATAATTTATAAGGTAATCATGTAGAAATTTGCCTTTCATAATGTTTATGACAAGTTGCTGTCTCAAGTTGTCCTTATTTATGATATGTATTGCAAAGAGAAAGAACAAGGCTTTTTTTAAAGTAAAATATAGCAACAGATAATGCATTATTGTTTTACACACACGCACACACCAAAAGTGCTGAGGTCAAGATAATAAAATCTAAAAAAATAAATGTGAAGTACGCGAATGTTTGGAATATGGTAACATGTAGTTTGGTGACATTTTGGTAAGGCGATAAAGGTTACTAGCTAGGAATTTAGCAGTGTACATGGATAAAGTCAAGAGTGTGCGCAATGCCATTTTTGTGCAATTCTGGGATTTTTTTTAAGTGAAAATAGGTCGACGTGTACATGGATGATACCGTGTGCAATTTTTAAAAACGCGGCAAGCAGTTTGCGATTCTGCACTTTCTCCCAATTTCGCACCTAATCTAAGTCATGATTAAGCACTTTTGTTCCATAAAAGTTCTAGCATAAGCATAATTCGGCTAGCAGATTGTTGGAAAAAAAAATGTTGAGTTTAAAAAAAAAAAAAAAAATGCCTTTACTTTGTGAAAACAAAATGGCATCCAAAAAAAAAAAAAAAACTATTTTTTTTTCGCCGCCATTTTGTCTTCACGAAGTAAAGACATGTTCCTTTTCTTTTTATTTACTGAACACTTTTTCCAACAATTCTACTAGCCGAATTACACTTATGCTAGAAATTTTATGTAACAAAACTGCTTAATCATGACAAATATAACTGCAAAAATGGGAAAAAGTGCACAATCGCAAACTCCTTGCGCGTTTTTCAGAATAGCACATACACATAAACCATTACACGTCGACTTATTTTACTTGAAAAAAATCCCAGAATTGCACAAAAATGGCATTGCACACTCTTAACTTTATCCATCTACACTGCTATTTTCTCATAAATTACAAAAATTTGCACGAAAATGCAAAAAAAATTCTGTGAATCTTTAAATTCGGTAAAAAGCACATATATGAAATTACCTGATCGCGAAAAAGTATATACCCTTTCCAAGGATGAACATTTCCACGTATAAAATAAATAAAATATCCAAAACCTTTTACCTCTAAATTTTCTATTATATTATAAACGTCACCAACGAATTCATACCGCAAGCATTACAAATGGTTACAAATACTTAGTGTCAAATATTTAAATTATTTCCATACACGTTTACTTCAACTGAAACGTATACCAAATTCCTACAAACATAAAATGCACGAAATAGCTTATAATTTAATTAAAATATCACTAAACCATGTACGCGTCGACTTATTTTTACTAAAAAACATCCCAGAATTGCACAAAAATGGCATTGCGCACACTCTTCACTATCTCATGATCTCTCATTTCCCTCACACAAAATAATGCGTAATCGGAACTGAGTACTTCTCACATTATTACCAAAGTCCTAGGTAGTAACCTTTATCGCCTCCAAAATGTTGCCAAACTACCAGTTACCATATTCCAAAGATCAGTCAAATATTTAATTTGTATTGTGTACATACCAATGAATTTCATTCAAAAGAAATAATTGTAATGAATTTTTCAAAGCATATAGATTAGTTTGAAAGTTTATCCTGGATCTTACAAATATATACTGCATACAGATATTTAAATAAAATAATGTAAATAAATACAATATACAGAAAAAAGTATAGACTAGTTAATAAATGTTTTGACAGAAAATTCTTGTGTGGAAAAATTTTAAACGAACAAAGCTATCACAGGCAAGGTAATATTTTATTAGCTCTTTATTATGCTCTATAGGAAGCAGTTTTCCGTTAAAAAGAGTCTTTTTATAGTCCCAAAACTCAGTACAGTATATTTTTTCTTGAAATTTGAGTTGAACATACATTTGTATCATTCAGCATTTTCAAAAATTTTTTAAATTAATGGGAATTTTTACAAACAGAAGGAATGAAAAAATCTTCATAAGTGCTAGATTTTAATTTTGAATGATATTATTGTACACAAAAAGCATAGTTAGCAGTTTTGTGAAACCTAACGTTCATTGTGTTGAATAACTCTTATTGTGAAAGAAACGGTGCTAAGAAATCCATATAAAATGAATTTTTAAATCATTAACTTATACTGTCATCAGGGCCAGTGTCAGAGCTGTTAGAATTGCAATGCACAGCAGAATTTTAAGGCAGCAAAATTTGGAATATAGGGAGCATAAAAGAAAATGTACAACCAGTTTCAGTTCAGTTGAAATTATATTGCCATATTACTTCAAATTTATGCTGCATTAGGATTTTAAAATTAGAAACTTTGAAAAAAATCGACAATGAAAATGATCTTATATTAGGCACTAAAATATATATTAAAAAAAAAAATTAAACTTATCTATGTAAGAATTTTCAGATATATTACTTTTGAGAGATTAACAGATAAGCTATAAATTATTTGCTTTGAATATTTAAGCTGCATCATAATTTTGCAGCTCAAATATTTGAATAAAAAGTATAGAAAAAAATCTGGTAACATTTTCTTCTTTCTCCTTTAGATCTATGTGCATATAGATCTAAAGGATCCCCCTTCTTTAGATCTATATACAAATATTTTTTCCATTAATCTTTACAGACTGTATATTTACTGAATACTGCGGGCCAATTTGTAAGTCATACATACTTATCTGAATGAAACTAATAGTTTTTGTAAAGGACTGTATTGCTGTAATTATTAAGAACACCGTTGCTGTTCTCAACATTGTTTAAGTTCTAAAAAATTAAAAAGGCTCAAATAAATTTACAAGTTCAAGTTTGGTTTGTTCAGTTATGGCAAAGCACTCAAGGACTACCTACCTAAGGAAAGGGATACCTTCATGGGGGACTTTCTATGAAAACTAGATTGTATATATGTCACACATAGGAAAACATGAAAATACCTATGGGTAAATACCTATGGGAACATCTATGGGTTTGCTATTGTTACAGCCAGTCCATTTGCTGGAATGTGAATCCCAAACTGAACTATCGGTGTTCAGCAAATTCACTGTTTGGCTGCTGGTGGTCTGTAGATATCTGGAGTTTAAGTAATTTAATCCTGTATACACATTCACACACACTTAATTCTAATTACTAAATTTTTTAATATGTGTATTGTTGCAAAAATGATTATGTATATACCATCCTAGTTTTAAATCTTCATTGTAATAATAGTAATATTTTCCGACAGATTTTAATATATTTTATGTATTTGCATTTTCGCAGGTTGGCATTGTGGCATTAGTTGTCATAGATTGTTTGATTGTCATTGCCGAGCTGATACTGGAAGTTAAGCATCATGAACTACATGATAGTCTTGCTCCACATGTATGTGTTTGCTTTTATATGATTTCAAAAGTTGAGTTTAAAATTAAAGTTGTAAAGTTCAAAGTTTAAATGTTAATGTTATGCATAGGAAAATTTAGTTGTGAATTGCAGTATCTTATTTTTTTGCATCACTATGCCATTACATTTATGATTGAATAAGCTTTAAACAAAATTATTATTTTTGATTATCTGCACCCTGCTGTGATAAGTCTTAACTTTTTGGTGACTAATTTTTTGCCAAGTTAATACCTGAAAGACAACAGCCATTTTTAAAGTAGCAGTGGACTAAGAGCATTAAATCAATAAAATTAAAAGACCTAGGAATTGCTGTAATAAAACTTTTTTCAAAATCAAGGGATATCTGTAACTTATCCTTTCAAGAAACCTTTTTATAATTTTTTTGACACTGTTGTTCTCCTGATGTACATAATGATTTGATTTTACTTTTAAAGACGATAAAGAATTGCACAAATTTGCCATTGTGCATGCATATGCAGCAGTGTCTTCACTTAAAAAAAGAGTGAGAGAATTATACAGATTTGGTACTGCTTCTGTAGAAATGCAATGCTTTCTTTTTCGTTTGCTAACAAACTCCACAGTCCCATTAAAAGATTAAAAATAAAGATAATCAAGATTAAAAGATAATCAAAGCATTTGTAATAATAATAAAATAAAAAAAAGAGAGAGGTAAGGAATGTAACCACGGCAACAGACAATATTAATTACTCATGCACTTTTTAAAAGAGCATTAGAATAAAGTATTTCAATGATGTTGGTTGTGAATTTCTGTCCTGTTAAATAATAATGCAAAATCAAAAAGATACACATAGTGGATGTAAGAGAAAAATTCTGATGCCAACAATATATATTGAACATTATTTCTTACTTATTGATCTAAAAGTTATTCTTGAGTAAACATTGTACTAGATTTCTGGGATTGAGCCAGACAGTCTTGGGTTCATAATTGTCTTAGATTGTAATAAATATGGGAATTTTAAATGAATGCTTTTAAAAGTTAAGGAATAAATTATTAATCCGTAGAACAACACAGGAGGCATTTGCATGCTGTCAGTAGATTAGAAGGACTAGGCTAGTCCCCTTGCATTTTAAGTGACACTTTGAAGCAGATTTTTACCTAACATTGAAACTCAGACAACAACAACAATAACAAAAAAACAAAAAAAAAAAAAACTTTTTACTGCCACTTTTTTAAATTGATGAAAAATGTTTATTTGGCTATCTATAAGTATTCATAAATAATACTTATATATTGCCAAACTGTTCATAAATAATAATAGAAAGAAGCATTTTATATGAAAAACAAAAATTTTATGACAAGAAACAAAAGACAGTACAGTCAAAAGTCGTTAATCCGGACTCGTCGGGACTTCGACGATTCCGGATTATCGATTTTTCAGTTTAAATCTGGTAAGATGGCATGCAGAAATTATAAAATTAAAAATATGAAACTGTAATTTATGAAATAAAGAACAATTATGATCTAAAGGGTATCAAAATTTACAAAAAAAAAAGCTTAATATTTATTTTGCTTACTTTATTAAACATTTCTTTCAATGTAAGTTGTTTAAGTTGCTTCATTTTATGTGATAATACTTTCTCTTTAATTCTATAAACAGACAACATAATTTCTTCTTCAGTTACAAAGTGCCGCTGTTCAAGTCCTATAATTGCTGTGTCGAGAATACCGACTAATTTTTTCGTTTTCAATAACCTCTGTGTCACTGTCTTCACTATTGGAAGTGAATTATTATGACCAGGAATTTGATTTAAATCATATCAAAGACGGAGTACATCGAGATACTACATTTATGAAAATACTAAATTTAGTAAGGAATACTACATTTAGTAAGGAATATTAATGAAATACTACATTTAGTAAGGAATATTAAGCCAAATAAAATAAAAACATCTGCCCTGAAGATAAGGATAGTGCTGACAGATCAACTTCCAATTCATTGTGCGCCGCGGTGGTCCCCTTCCCCCCCAGAGCAGCGTGAAATTGATAAACAGATTTCGGAATGGTTAGAGAAACAAAGGATATGCCTTTATCCATTTTTTGCAGCAATTCCACTTTTTGTTTAATGGACTTCGAAACGTAATTTCGCTTTGTAGATCCTTTACATATTAGTAAATATATATTGGAAATTCTATTTGACATGATCAAAAGTTCAAGCTTACTTTTATAAAATTGCTCTAACAGTCTGCAAAAAATAATAAGCCGGATCCAATTCGAAGATTAAGGAACAACGCGATCTGCAACATTAACTGAATTAGACAATTTCAGCTTAGCTTATACCGTCCGTTATACATTAAACGTGCATGCGTAAACGTATTATGCGCATGCCCACATGCATAGTCGCAGCCGTACGCTGTGCAGAAAGTTTGTAGCTTTGAGGTCCAGATTATAAATCATTCCGGATTATGGGTGTCCGAATTAACGACTTTTGACTGTATTTACATTTTTTTACATTAAGTCAAACTGTTCAGCTATGATCCTCAAACTTTTGAAATAATCTTTTCGTTTTTGTGGTATGAACATCTATGGGTTTGCTATTGTTGCATTCTCTCTCAGAAGTATGCCAAAATATGGCAACTGTGCTGAATGCTGAACTAGAGAAGGCTACAGATAAGAAAATACCAGAGATTCATATTGTATCATTTTTGAGCATGCAAGCCATTCGTGTGTAATTAGATTATGTGAATGGAATTCTGTCGAGTTGCATCTGGTCTGCACAAGAAAGAACTAGCTAGTTTTTGCCTATTCCCATAGTTCCCTTATACTTGCTGTTAACTACTGACAGTAGGTTATAAAAAATTGAATTTTCTCAAATTCTATAAGTAAAATTAATTTAAATTTTACTGCTATGTTTTAGTTTGTGCTTATGAAAGTGTTCTTGAAATACAAGAAAGAATTTGAAGTAAAACATGTTAATGCAATAATTCTGAGTTTAAAATTTAGAAAAGGAGGTAACCCAAAAAATGAGTCCTCTCAGAAAATGTCATTATAGAGCACATGCAAGTAAGCTGTGAAGTAGCTTTGTGAAAACACATTGATCAGGTTCATGATCATAATCCTACAGACATGATTGACTGGCTATTAAATCCTTTGGGCATATTTTCAAGAGAAGCAAATAAATCATAAAAGATATGCCATTCATTCTCATTTTTACCTGTCTCCCAAAGTGAAATACTATACAGTTTTAAATTAATTAACAGTTTGCAAATTGAAAAGTAGTCCATTTAGCTGGCCTTATTACTTTGAGATAGAAGTGCTTTTAATGAATCATTTATTTTTATGACATCCCAGATGAAAAGAAAATGATTGGTGATTATCCTTTATACCCAGTCAGATTTTTGTTGCAGATCATTTTTTGGAGACAATGCATGTCCAATGACATTTTGGACATTTTGGGTTTCTTTTGTTTAGTTTTTTATGTCTGTTACAGATATATCCCAGGAGATTAATCAGTTGCAATTTTTCTTTTCATTTTCAGTGTATCCATTTCGTTGACTACTTTTTCCCCACTTACCTTTCTTTCCTAAAATTTTAATTAATATTGTCATAACCATCTTTCAGGAGTTTTGTGCCCACCACTTTGCTGTGTGATAAGACCACTAATAAGTGATAGTTTGACTTGGCTTCAAATACAAGGAAAAGGGCTGGATGTGTGGCATATTTGATAGTTTTTCCTTTGTATAAGATGAATATAAGCCAGTTTTTCTCTACCAAGGCATATTTTGCCTATTCCTTTGTATGCCTTGTATGCTTTGCCGTAATCTGATAATCCAGTTGAAGAATTTGGTTGGGTTATCAAAATCTCAGTGGAGATGTTGTGTCACCAAAAGAATTCTTGGTACCAAAAAATGTTTGCCAAGAAAATATGATTTGGTATAACTGATAAGTATCAAATTATGGTACTATTCCATTAGAGCAGTATCAGTTAAAAATGAGAAGAAAACAGTGCTACAATAACACACTGAATATTGTGGCTCGAGATTTTCAGTTTTCGTTTGAAATATTATCACACATTATTATTATTATTTTGCTATATTTTGCCATTTTTTAGTACGATGGACTGCACAATTTGGAAATTGTGCTGCACTTGTTTTGGTGCACCTAATGACGAACATGCTGTCATAAAATTCCTTCAGGACAAAGAAATAATTCGCAGCAGTTGACTTTGCTCTTAAAATCATTTAATGAAATTAATTTTTGACTCAAACTAAGCTCCTATATGGTGTTGTTACATACATTCTTGCTGTAAAAAAATGGATTGAGAATTAAAGCATGGTTTGAAGGCTTGCATCTTTCTTTCCTTAGTATTGTTTGTTTTATCTATTTGCAGTATCAGGTATTGACATCAATTGAATTTTGCTGACTTTAGTTAGAAATCAGACATAATAGGACAGTACATTAGAATAACTACTTGAGGTATGTGCAAATAGTTTGATGTCTCGTAAAAGAAATAAAATTTGCGGAGCCAAATAAATTGTAGAAATCAACGAATTCTTTTCTCAAAAAGGAAAAAACAACATTGGTTATGCTCTTCCAGAACAATGTGTATTTGGGGCTTTATGCTGGGAAAGCAAAGAATATTTTCTGGTCACCGTTTTCGATCGTTGTGTTACAACATTGTTGACTGCCATTCAGGAAAACATTGCGGATGGCAGCGTTATATTTTCAGACTGATGGAAGGATATAAGAAAGAGGAATTAAGAAATACTGAACATTTCACTGTGAATCACAGTTATAATTTTCTAGACCTTGAAACTAGATGCTGTATCCAAAATATGGAGGAATTGTAAGGCAGTGCGAAATGGAGAAATAAATTTCAGTGGGGCTCTGCTCACCACCATTTAGATTCATATTTGATAGAATTTATATTGTCTATTTGCAGTATCAGTTATATTCAAAAACTGAACTTTTCCTATAATATTGAATATTTGTAATTTTATGCCACCTATTTACATTGAATTTC